TTATTTAAAGGTTTCTTGTGCTATGTTATTAGGAGAGTTGATTTTGAATAAAAATGTAAATTTATTGTGAGTTTTATCGAGATAGTATCTCGTTTTGCGTGTTTTACGAGAGAGTATATCGTTTACTCGTTTTATCCTTCCCATTCGTACGCATTCCCTACATCAGTTGGTATCAGCAGTCAGTACGATTCGCGATGTCGCCGGATGAAAAGATGCCGCAAACAAACAACGTGATGCAACCTTCAATGGGTTTCAACAGATCGACTACCGATTTGAACAATTGGACGTGCGTTTCACGGATTGGTTTGTCGATATTTCGACGGGGATAGGGGATTTGCGTTTGACACTTAACAACATGATTGTTTCGGAATTACAAACAAACCGCGATGGGGATGTGGGCCGTGGCAATCGCGGGGGAGACAGAGGCGGACGTGGGGAAAGCAGCCATGTCGGGGCGCCCCGACAGCGATCCCCGCCACCTCTGAATGGCAACGATGTTGGCGATTTTGGGGCTCAACAGGAGCAGTCCAAATGCTTTTTTGGGCATGTGAAGGAGATGCAGAAATTAGGCCTATGCAGAGAGAATTTGGTCGCAAGGTTGGTTGATGGGATGTCCCATTTTGCGTAAACATCCTCAAATTCGACGAAGAGCGAGATGAAGGGTCATTGTACGATGGTCCGCCCATTTTTGATGAGGAGCCTCCAGTGATGAAGACATATTTATGCGACAATATGGGTCCTGCGTGGGACGTCGCAGAGGTTGAGTCTTCAAATGGGAAGCCGTCGTTTAGACCTGATTTTCAGAGTATCTTGGTCAAATATGATTTTTTGGAGCCGAAGCCGAGACTCAATAACTGGTGGGTCATTTTTCGATTTTCTATCTCGAAGTCTCCCAACAACATGGTGCTTGGTCGTAGTTATGGATTGAGCATGGTGAACGATGTGGTATGTTTGGTGTTAATTGCGATGTGTGGGTTATGCGTAAGGAGGCGTGTACATGTCCATTTGCAGTAGTACAAGACTTGCTCAAGCTTATGTTTCCCATTGGGGTTGTTGGACAACATTCATCTTTTGTGTTCGATCGAGGGAAAGGTTGGGCTATTCCTGCCAACGGGAACGGGTCGGATTCGAGGGCGAATCCTGCTCAACCGGAGGAGAATGATGTAGAATAATTATATTATTATTATTATTATTATTATTATTATTATTATTATTATTATTATTATTATTATTATTAGTTAGCTTGAAGAATAAGCTAGGGTTTAGTTCAAGTGTCTTATTTAAAGGGTTCTTGTGCTATGTTATTAGGGGGGTTGATTTTGAATAAAAGTATAAATTGATTGTGAGTTTTATCGAGAGAGTATCTCGTTTTGCGTTTTTTACGAGAGAGTATCTCGTTTACTCGTTTTATCCTTCCCATTCGTGCGCATTCCCTACATCACGGCCCTTCTCATTCTGAAGAAGGACGATACTTGGAGGATGTGTGTGGACAGTCGGGCCATCAACAAGATCACAGTCCGGTACCGATTTTCCATTCCTCGGCCGGACGACTTGTTGGATCAGCTCCACGGTACTACCATTTTCACTAAGTTGGATCTCCGTAGCAGTTATCATCAGATTCAGATTTGCCCGGGCGACGAGTGGAAGACGTCGTTCAAGATTCGTGAGGGGCTTTTAGAGTGGATGGTGATGCCCTTCGGTTTGTCTAATGCCCCAAGCACGTTTATGCGGGTGATGAACCAGGCACTTCGGGATTTTATCGGCAAGAGTGTTGTCGTTTATTTCGACGATATTCTTGTCTACAGCAGGACACTAGAGGAGCACTTGCAGCATGTTCGCGAGGTCTTATTGGTGTTGCGTGCTGAGTCTTTTTTTGCCGCTCCTCGTAAGTGTTTCTTCTTGGTCGATTCTGTTTTATTCTTGGGATTTGTGATATCGGCACATGGTATTTGTGTGGATGAGGGTAAGGTAGCTGCTATCCGTGATTGGCCATCTCCCACGACTTTCACGGAAGCTCGAAGCTTTCATGGCCTAGCTTCATTCTATCGTCGTTTCATTTCCCACTTTAGCACGATTACGGCTCCTATCACCGATTTCCTTAGTGGCAATCTTTTGTTTGGACTCCCGAGGCCGAGGCCGCATTCGCTTTGATAAAGAGCAAATTGACTTCAGCTCCACTGCTCGTCTTGCCGGATTTTTCGAGGCCGTTTGAGCTCTCTTGTGACGCCTCGAAGGTCGGGATTTGAGCTGTTCTGGGCCAGGACAATCGTCCGGTTTCATTCTTCAGCGAGAAATTGTCGGGCCCGAGGACACGATATAACACATATGACGTGGAGTTTTATGCTATTGTTCGTGCGATCCGGCATTGGCGCCATTATCTATTTCATCGTGAGTTCTTGTACACTGATCATGAGGCTTTGCACCATCTCGCATCCCAAGATAATATTTCGGCTCGGCATGCCTCGTGGACCGCTTTTCTACAGCAGTATACTTTTGTCCTTCGACATCATTCGGGGGTTTCGAACAGGGTGGCTGACGCTTTGAGCCGCCGGGCTCTTTTATTGACGGACATGCGAGTCTCTGTTGTGGGGTTCAATGTGTTGAAGGAGCTTTATGTTGATGACTCATTTTTGGGCCTATTATCCGGAGCCTCGCGGTCGGTCCGGTTGATGATTTTTGCTTGATTGATGAGTTTTTGTTTCGGGGTGTGCGGCTTTGTATTCTGGACTGTAGTATGCGCGTGAAGCTCATTGGCGATTTGCATGGCACGGGTCACGTTGGCCGTGATCGTTAGGTTCTTTTGGTCGCCCGATCTTATTTTTGGCCTTCGCTCCGTCGGGATGTGGGCCGGTTTGTTGAGCATTGTCGTGTCTGTCACGTTTCGAAAGGGGTTACGTCGAATGCCGGGCTTTACCGCCCATTTCCTATTCCTTCGCAGCCGTGGAGTGCGATTAGCATGGATTTTGTGTTGGGATTACCTCGTACTCAGCGGGGTTTTGACTCCATCTATGTGGTCGCTGACAGATTTTCGAAGATGGTTCATTTTATCCTGAGCAAACGAACCACCGATGCGGTTCATGTGGCACAGCTGTTCTTTCGCGAGGTTTACCGTCTCCATGGCCTTCCTTCTTCGATAGTGTCGGATCGTGACACTCGTTTTCTCAGCCACTTTTGGCGTAGTTTGTGGCGCATGGCGAATACTCTCTTGGATTTTAGTAGCGCGTACCACCCTCAGACGGACGGCCAGACGGAGGTAGTGAATCGTTCTTTGCGCAATTTACTTCGGTGCTTGGTGGGCGATAATCTTCGCAGTTTGGGACCAACGTTTGAGCCAGGCTGAATTTGCTCATAATTCGTCTGTTAGTCGAGCCACGGGCCTCTCCCCGTTCGAGACTGTTTATGCTACAGCCCCGTGGACCGTCGGATTTGGTGGCGCTGCCGCCTTCGGTGGGGGGCGATCGTCGGGCTGCCGATCTCAAGGCGACTCACGCGGCGGCGAGGGCCCAGCTGGAGTCCATGACTGAGGTCTACAAGCACCGCGCGGATTCAAAGCGTCTCCATGTCGAGTTTTCGGTTGGTGATTTTGTTTGGGCCGTGTTGACGAAGGATCGGTTCTCGGCCTACGAGTTTAATAAATTGTCGGCCCGCAAGATTGGTCCGGTGGAGGTCATTGAGAAGATCAATCCGAATGCTTATCGCCTCCGTCTTCCTTCGCATATTCGTACGTCGGATGTGTTCAATGTGAAGCATTTGGTGCCTTTTGTGGGCGACAACTCCGATGAAGACGAGACCGATTCGGATTCGAGGTCGAATCCTCCTCAACCAGGGGAGGATGATGAAGACGAGACCGCGATCGCGTATTTGAATAAATACGACGACTCCAGGTTTAGTTTATTTATTTCACATTATTATTAGTACTCTTTTAGTTTTATTTCCTTCGCTGGCTTTGTTAATTATGGTATTATGGTAGAAAAATAAAGGTCTTGCAGTGTTTTGGCAAGATTAGGATTCTTATTTTATTTTCCTTTGGTATTTAAGGTGTATGGAACGAAATAAACAATAGATTATTGATGAATTGAATTTTCTGATTGTTCGTTCTTGAGAGAGTATCTCATATTATAATTAATTGTACTACGCTCTACATCACTATACGACTCATCGTATCTTTCAAATAGAAATTGTTAGTTTTTTGACATAATGTTTGTCTCACATCGAATGTGTAGATCTTTTTAGTATAAATAAGTCACTTGTTTTTGGGTTACAATTGCATTTAATCTCTTCTCTCGTATTTTAAAAGTAAATCTTAATAAAGAAATTTTAATTTGTGGGTTGTTTAACCTTTGTCATGGGTGAGTTTAGTGAAATTGACGTTACGGTTGGTGGTGTGCGGAGACATAGGCATCTATGTCGACCTGATAACTCCTTTGATCTCTGATCGACCTATCAGTCCAATTGGTTGTTTTCTCGAGTCAAATCAATCCGATATGGTATATCATATCAATATTTGAATGTTAAAACTTGAAAAAAAAAAAATGAGTTCGGTGCAAAAATAAATGAAATGGTCCAAAGTCAACAAATACTTGCTACCTAATATCCTATAATCATTTACTGCAACCAATATTCATTGTATATACTGTATATTTTCCTTCACCCTATGGTAAACTGATTATATTCTCCCACACACAAAATTTCATAATTATAATGACCCACATGGTCCATTTGGTATAGTAACTAAGGGAACATAACCAATATGACACCTTGGTATATTCAATACAAACCTAAAAATCAAATCCTTTCAACTATCATCTAACACCAAATTCAATGTATGGATCCAATCTAAAAGTCTCCATGCACACCTATTCAACTTTTACACACACACACACACACACACACACACACACACACACACACACTCATTTGACATAAAGCAACCTATCTATAAACCAAACCTCACACACTTGAAAACTTATTTAAACCCTTGTGACAAAATAACACAAGCAATGGGGAATTCACTTGCATGTTTTGCACCAACACAAACACCAACAAAGGCAAAAACAACACAGAAAGAGCTTATACCACCATGGCTATCTCCTTTATCCTCCCTCAAAAAATCAAGAAAATTGCAGTCGGAGGAGCCTGACGTCGTTTTCGAAGACTCTTACATCAAGAAACAGGCACAGATAGCTACCATGCTTTATCATCAACACTTGCAAAACAATGGTGGTCATGATCATCTTATTCGCCAGTTCGAACGATCCGTGTCGACCCAAAATCACCCTATGAATTCTTACAACAAGTCGAAAAGGATGCCCGCACGATCACGCTCACTTTCGTGCTCGACTTCTGTGCTCCCAAATCAGGTTTGGCATTCAACTTATGTTATTTTTAATCCTAAGGAAATCTTCAGTCTAATTAAGGTACTTGATACATTTATAATTATGCTTGTTTGGATTTTTTTTTTTTTTTTTTAAATCTCACTAACAACTAATTATCCAATTTTTAAAATACCTTGTTTAATCGAAAAAACTCATTTTGAGCGAATTTATTTGTAAATAAACACGCCTTTGTTGGTTGTTGTGTTCTGATATTTTTGTCTTTTTAGTCAATTATTCTCTCTCCCCTCTCTTCCAAGTTCCATGCGAAAGGCAACGTCTTTGAATTAAGTTTTTTTTTTTTTTTTGACTTTTGGGAAAATTGTATTGTTATTTAACTTTTAAGTGTAGTACAAGTTTGCTGACTTTTGGGGACAATTGTATTGTTATTTAATTGCATAATCAACTCAAATGTTGATTTTGTTAATAAAAAATCACACTGCATAAATGTTAAATAGGTGCACATTGATACAATAAATTTTCCTATAAAACTGTCTATGGTGTGTTTGTACTTTGTATATAAAATAAAATAATTCAATTTTACTCAAAATCTAACTCAATTATATAACTTGACCTCATTATTTTCCATATTACAAATATTAAATAATATCAATGATTTATACAAATATAACCGTTTTTTATTAAGCACGGTTAATTCTGAAAAAAGATTTTGAGAATTTTCTCCATTTACAAAAGGTTAAAATCTGTAATGTTACAAGCATTTAGGCATTTTTGTTTCAGGACGTAGCAAGGAGTGATGGTGAGCAAGAGCAGAAGCACTTTGTGCTGGTCCATGGTGGAGGTTTCGGAGCATGGTGTTGGTACAAGATTATAGCTCTCCTTAAACAACGCAAATACGACGTTGATGCCATAGACCTCGCTGGCTCGGGATCCAACTTCTGTGACATTAATTCCATCAAAACTCTAGCTCAATATGCCACACCAGTCACTCATTTCCTATCAAATCTTGGTCATAACAAACAGGTATATATAGTATTATTTCGAATCACACTCTTTTTCTTGGCCTCTTAGCTATGGACAGTGTTAGATAATACCACTTGCGAGTTGTCCCACATCGTTTATGCAGGGAAAATAGACCTAACTTATATAAGACTAGTGTGCTACTTCTCCCATCAACCAATTGGTTTTGTAATAGAACCTTACTTGGGCTTCATCTGGACTTTCCCTGTCATGGTGCGTTTCATCTGCGTAGGACTGCACTCGTTCTACCCCTGATTCTTAGGAGAGTCATGTGAAAAACTCGTTCTACCCCCGATTCTTAGGAGTCATGTGAAAAATCATTTTTTGGTGGAGCCTTTGTTTATGAAAAGAGTCATCGACATGATTTTAGTTGTGTGCAGGTTATATTAGTGGGACATGATGTTGGTGGAGCATGTATCTCTCATGCAATGGAGATGTATCCTCACAAAGTCTCCAAGGCCATATTTGTGGCTGCAACTATGCTCACTCATGGCCAGAGACCCCTTGATATCTTTTCTCAACAGGTGAGTACAAGTTTTATTGGCATACATCAATTCATTGAAGTGGTTTTTAGCGTCTTTCAACTAAAGTTGGTGTTCGTATGGTGGTGCAGTCATGTTTGAGTGACATTAGCCGACGTGCCCAAAAATTCATATATGCAGAGGGGAAGGATCATCACCCAACTGCTATAGATTTCGACAAGTCGCTTCTGGACGACTTCTTGTTTAACCGAACACCTCCAAAGGTACAAATGGTTTTTCTTTTTTTACTTTTGAACGCGAAAATTTGAGGGTTGTAATGTTAAAGTTGGTTTACATATATGTACTTTTGACTCACACAGGACATTGCATTAGCATCAGTATCGATGAGGCCTGTACCGTTTGCTCCTGTGACCGACAAGCTTTCTCTTTCGTCACAAAACTATGGTTCCATCGCAAGATTTTACATAAAAACGGATGATGATTTTGCTATCCCTCCTTCGCTTCAAGAATCTATGATACAATCAAGTCCAGCTAACCAAGTTTTCGATCTCAAAAATTCCGACCACTGCCCCTTCCTCTCCAGGCCACAGCCACTGTGTAGGCTCTTAATACAAATATCAAATATCATATAGTGAAGATTAGAAGTTGGGGTTTAATTAATTTTCATCCATATGAGACTGTACATGAGAGCACAATCAAGTTATCTCACAATTATATATTTATCTCACAATAAAGACTATATTTTAAATATTATATGATTTTTTATTATTATATTTATATAATGACTAGATAAACATATATTTATCCATTAGATTTAGTATTTATTCATACATTTATCAAACAAAGTGAAATTTAAAGTAAAAAAAAAAAAACCTCTATTTTTTAAAAATATATCATGACAGCAAAATCTTAATCATATTAAGTGAAGTTTTACAAAAAGAAAATGTTGTTCACCCTTTAGCTCAGACAATGAAAAAAAAAAAAAAAAAAAAAAATACTGGGTCCATTTGTAAGGAGAACCCGAAAAATCACAACATTAGACAGCAAACCGCAACGAAAAGCCGCATAGAAGTATATCTCAAAGAAAGAAAAGGGGACAAAGACAAACGAATATCAAGACAACGTTGAACATTCAGTTCTTCCTCGAAATCCCGAGCCTCTTGCGAAAATCCTCCTCCATAAGGGGAATGCCATCGCGCAATTTGACCTTCGGTTCCCATCCCAACAACTCCTTAGCCATTGATATGTCCGGTTTCCTCTGCCGAGGGTCGTCTGGAGTGTTTTCTACGCTTATGATTTTCACTTCTGGATTAATCATCTGAAATTACACATGTTAGTCCACAAATGTAAGATTCAAGGCTTTTTTTTTTTTTTTTGTTTTTTTTGTTATTGTTACTGTCAATCGACTAGAGCTAACAAAATTCAGGTCCCCACAAAGGGCTTCCATATAACACAAATGGAGAGAAAATTACCTCCTTCACAGTCTCAGCAAGTTCAGCCATTGTAAATTCACCTGGTAGGAAAATCCTCAGTGATTAATAAAAACGGAGCACGGAGAAATTAGAAGAGAAGGCATAGATCAAAAACACAAACAAAAAGGTTGAAGCATGGAAAAGATCAAGTGCCAAACTGCTGGGTTTCTTATATTAACCTGGATTGCCTATGTTGATAGGCCCGGTATTATCGCCTTCCATCAGTCGAATAAGACCATCAACCTTCCGAATCAAAATAAACAGATTACATACGATTTCATTATTGCATGTGTTAGGAGAGAGCGATCTCCATTTATTTATTTTTTTAAAAAAACAAAAAGAGTGAATACAATGTATTCCTGGGCTGCATACCATATCAGATACATAACAAAAGCTCCTTGTTTGTGTTCCGGGCAACTGAACTGTCAAAGGCTCGTCACTGCACAATGTGACGTTTAAGGCATGAATTCACAAATTTTGGCAAAAAGCTAAATATATATATGTATATATATATATATATATATATATATGAGAGAGAGAGAATACCGTATTGCCTGAGCCAAGAAGTTGCTGACGACTCGACCATCGTCAATATTCATCCGGGGTCCGTATGTATTGAAGATTCTTGCAATCCGAATCTCTGTTTGAAATTTATCGACCCATATTTTGTTATGGAAGCATGATATTGTAATGTATTATATTATATTATATTTGGATTAAAAAAAAAAAAAAGAGGAGAGGCTAATACCAATTCCATGCTGTCTGTGATAGTCAAACATCAATGTTTCAGCAACTCTTTTGCCCTCGTCGTAACAACTCCTAACTCCTACAATTCCACAAATTTAAGTAATGAAAATAGTGTACGAGTTCACGTATGTCGATGCTTCATTTCTTTGTAATAAAAATGAGAAATGATGTATAAATTCAGTATGGTAAACTTTAAAGTGTTCAAACAGTACCAAAATATACAGGATAAAGAGTTTTTACCGATAGGGTTCACATTGCCCCAGTAGTCTTCAGTCTGAGGGTGCACAAGTGGATCACCATAAACCTCTGAGGTTGATGTCAGTAAAATCCTAACGAAATATTTACCGAATTCAGCAGATGTAAAAGAAACGATATTCAAAACAAATAACAAACCTAAATGAGTTAGTTATTAGTTTATTATACCTAGCTCCAACTCTCTTGGCAAGTCCCAACATGTTAAGTGTTCCAATCACATTTGTCTTGATTGTCTGTTTGGTTAAAACGATCAAGCTTAATTATTGTTGCACCATTAGAGAAGTAACTTTGAGAGAGAGAGAGAGAGAGAGAGAGAGAAGCCACTGACCTTCACAGGATTGTATTTGTAGAAAATCGGAGAAGCAGGACAAGCAAGATGGTATATCCGGTCGACTTCAATTAATAAAGGTTCCGTAACATCTGAGATATTTATATTTAAAACCAAAAAAAAAGGCACAATTTAAGATAATTGGCCTATAACAGTCTTTCAGAGAAGAAAGTTGTCACGGACAAGAAAAGAACCAAGAATTGTTATAACTTAAACCGTGAATAACAGAGTTCCCGAGAACCCTTTTTTTCCAGCCACTAAACAGAAACATTTTCTTAATAGAAACTAAAACAACTGGCGACTAAAGTGATGTACCAGAATTCACGAGATTAAATTTTTTACGTAGCAAATGAACAATTGCTGAAAGTTCTATATTGTTTTACTTGGCATTAGGCCAACTCTTTCAAACATCTCTTGTACGTTTGAAGTTTATTTCGTAACTTGTAACATAATAATGTAAACCAAAGCGTATGATAACTAATTAACAGCAAATAATATCTACCATGACGAATAAGCTCAAATCGCGGATGACCAATCCATTGGCTAAGGTTGTCCTTAGAGCCGGTGAAGTAATTATCCACAACAATCACCTAAGAAAAGGAAAATTTAAGTTTACATAATCAAAGAGCAAAACATTATAAACACAAGTGTATGCAAGCCACTAAGTTCTTACCTCGTTTTTCTCGTTTTCCATGAGTTTGTCAACCAAGTGGGAGCCTATAAATCCAGCTCCACCGGTGACTAGAATCCTCATGTTTGCCTGCCATCAAGATATATGTTAGTTAGTGTACTACGAAATACGATAATATATCTACGGATTCAGAATGAATAATTTTAGCAGAGATCCTATATTCAAAGGAAGAAGGTCAAAAAACGAAACACAAACTTGATCATTAATAGCCGAAGGGAACATGAAACTAAATCTTCGTCCATGAGGCAAAGAAAAAAAAAACAATATTTACTTAGGAAAATAGGAACACATTTCAACAAATTATTCCTATACCTGAAAAAATTTAGCCCTCCTTAGTGGCGAGGGCTCGGGAGGTGGCTTGGTGCTCACAATGTTCGACCCGTTTGTTGCTTCCTTAGCCATTCTAAGACCCCTTCGGATTTCTAAAATTCAAGAAATCGGTTACACAAAGATAATCATCCAGTTCCAAACAGATCCATATACAAACGTCAATGACACCAAAAACTACAATATGATTCCATTTCATTTGTAAGGCAGCTCCAACAAGAACAAATATTTACAACATAACCATCTAGAAGCAACATTACTTACCTTTTTTCAGGCAATCTGAGACAAATCAAAATGAAACAGAAAATTATGTAAAACTAATTCGTTTACAACTTATGTAATCTCATCTCTCTCATATGATTTGGTGGGAGATCGAACCCTAATCACAGAATAATGCACACAAAAAAAAGACAATAAAAACAACATCAATCCCAACAGATATTGTAGAAAAATTAAAGGGGCTGATCCGATCACCTCTTACGTAAGAACAAACTTAGTACACAGAGTAGAACACTTGTGCTCAAACACCAAAAGACTTCACCTTTATATACTGCAGCAAGTCGCGGCTTAAAACCCAGATATTTAATATAGAAATAAAATTAAAAATCGACAAATTAACAAGAAAAAAAAAAAAAAGCAAGCTTGCAATTATAATTGCTTTTTACCAAACGATACCAACTGGAGAGAGAATTACGGAAAGAAGAATCTTGAAATTTAAGCGAAGAATGGAAGATTATCAGCGTACCTTCGGTGTTACTCAAACCAGAATCCGGCAGAGTTGGACATAGAAACGGAACTCGATATTATATTATGTTTTTGTGTTCCAAACTTAAGACTACAATTAAAATGATATATTTTGACAAATTTAAATGAAAACTCGATATTATATATATATAGGGTTGGGTTCACATGAGAATGGTTCTCAATGAAAGAAATGAGAATAAATCTCAGCCATAGGATTAAATGATCAAACAGCTTAAAAAAAGTCAATATTAAACCTTCATTAAGGGTATTGTGGTATTTTTCCACACCACATTAAAAAAGGTGGGACCCATTCAAATTAATACACCTACTAAAACCTGCCAACTACCTCATCCCAATTCCCATCAATTACGTCATGTCTCTCTCATCTCAAACACACACGGTACACACACATATACATACACCAATACACACACGCTCCGCCTCTTCATCTTCGACCTCCCTCCGGTGCACCACCC